ATGCCGTGGGCTACCGCGGCACTCAGGGGCTGGGTGGACACGGTGGCCACTGGGCCGCCCGGAGGCTGGGTGCTGGGAGAGGGAGTGGAGCCGCAAACGACGTGTGAGATGGAGGCACCGGGCACTGAAAGGGGAGTTGGAGGCTGCATGGGATTACCGATGGTGTGGACCACCGGGGAGCACATGGAGTAGGATGGCGGAGCAGACATAGGGACCGCCTGGGCCGCCCCACTGGGACTGGGGCCAGCCATGAAGTGGGTCAGCAACGCACTCACCGCATTATTCGCGGGGACAGAGACAGAATAGGACATCGGCCCCCCTCCACCTCCAGAGGGGTGTGTGGGAGCAGGACCTGTCTCAAACACCACATGAGGCATAGGGGTGCAAACAGGGTTGGATGCTGGGGCCGGCACGGAGCTGTACACGGATGGAGGCACTGGGGCACACGCAGCAGGAGGCACAGTCTCGCATACGACACGGAAGCCAGGATCGCATCCCATCTCAAACCCGGGATTGATGCTTGGATTGAAGCCTTGGTTGCAGATGGAATTGCACAAAGGATGGCCTGCAGGGAGGTACACGAAATCGTACACAGGCTGCCCCCCTGCGCTGCAGTTTGGGTTGCACACTGGGATACAGATATATTCACACATGGAGTTGAACGCAGGGTCTGCCACAGGGACAGGCCCAGAGCCGTTCATGGGGACGGAGCCGTTCTCACACGTTGGGAGTGACCCGTTCTGGCTGATGGGCAGGACACCGTTCTGGCCTGCGGAGCAACACACTTCAGCTTTGGCACATCCCTTGCAGTAGGCAAACTTGTGGCACCCAAGGTTGGCCAGGAGCCAGTGACTGCCAAGCCTGTAAGGTGTGAACTCCACGATGGTCCGTGCCTGTTGGTTGGATGCCAGCGTTCCCAAACTGGAGTAAGACAAAGAAAAGAATTAGGATCCCAATCCTTAGCCCTCAGAGACCTAAGCGCTACAAGATGAGTGCACAAAATTAAGTTTAATTTGTTATGACATATTTTAGAAACAAATTGTTATGACAACTTTGTTATTCTTGTCTTCTTCCAAAAAAACCCATATTCTCTGTTGTGAAAAGTATGTTAAAAACTTTTGTCCCAAAAGATTTGGAAGACTCCCATAGTCAGTTCTGTAATTGGAATTGGAAAACCATTTGTGATACTGACTTGAATTCTTAAAAAATGTGGCACCCTTCTGCCTAAAAGGTGTATTTATTGCTTACCATTTCCAGCAGTTTGACAGGGCAGCTTTGTGGAATCCAGTTCATTACTATTCAGTGAGAAAAATTCTTAACTTCTTGCCCTCAAAACTAGTCATACTTTTGTCAGTTCTCCTTGTCATGAAGAGAAGCAATGCATATTAATGAACATCTACTTTTCCTAGAATGTTACAGCATCTTGGAAGTTTCCAGTTTCCTGTGATTAACTTGTTATGAGTTTAGTATGCATATTGCTATTTCTCACTGTCATTCACTAATTGTTCCTATATGTGGTTATGTGGTTAGTGCCAGTTCATGAATATTTAGAGGAATTTTATTATAAACTCAATAGGAATATAAGAGATGAGGGACCCAGCTAGTACTTCTTGTAAAGACAAGTGTGTAGACAGATATTTGAGGCACCCACTTAAATTAAATCTTGAGAAAAATGAAGCAGTGTCATTCCTTGCCATTTAAATTATCATCAGTTTTAAGAGGAGTGAGGCTTTTAATGGCATCTCAAAGTAATAAGAGGCAAAACATCTTGTTCATGTGCTAAACACCAAAAATATCAGAACCATCGTCTCTCTCAAAACCTATCCTGAACTTGCACACCTCAGTCACCCCCAATATTATCCCCATTTCAAGAATTGATGAACTTACTCAATGGTCATTGGCTCTTTGAATAAACCACAGCCTTCTAATGTCATTACACAATTCTTCATATCTTCCTGCAGAGGATTACAGAAGGAGATCTCTGCAGTACATGGTACTTTCAGTCTGGGTTGGCTCAGTAGCTATTTAAAAAAGAAACAAACACATTTTATGTTTTTTAATCCTTACAAAACTGACAATGAGGTAAACAAATGGAAGGAAACAAAATTTTAAAAGAACTAATAATACGCATTGGTTCTATGATCTCTATACATTACTAAGTAAACTGTTTTACTTTAAAAGTCACACCAATCTTGCTATTAAAAAAAAAAAAAGGCAATAAGATGAAAGAAAAATGTAAAGTATTTCAAGTTTATTGGCATTGTACTTAGGAAGTGGCAAATAAGAGTCCCCAGGTCTGTTCCTTAAATACCAAATTCCATAAAGTTTCTTACCTTTACAATAACAGGTGGTCTATTGACCACAATATCCCTGCTCACCATCAGAACTTCTCCACACTCTGGGTCTGAGACAGCAACTACTTTCATAATGTTGTGATCACAGAGATAAGGTCCATATTGGTTATATGATATACACATCGGAATTTTTTTCACTGTAAAACAAATATATTTCTTTATTTTTCTGAATTTTTTTAACACTCTCATTTTACTTCCTCATAAAGTTTAACTCACTCTTACAATGACTTAATTAAATATTAAGTTATCATGGCATCTTTGAAAATAGACAGAAGTTTTCCTGACTTAGGGTAATTCATTGCTATCTTCAGCAATCAGTTTCACAGTTTTCAATTCATCTATCAGTGAATTTGCAAGATTAGTGGGTGGTGGTGATGATCATGATAATTATTAAGCAAAATTTGGAAATTGTTCCTTTCAGTGGAAATCTTATTGCAATAATTAAAATATAGGAAAATTAAAGCCTCATAAAATAGAATTTTAATATCAGTATGAAATTTTGTCTTATGTAGTTTAATTAAAGAGATCCTGTTTCTTCCAGAAAAAGACATTAACCATGGAAACAGATTTTGATATTCTGCTACACATCTGCACTTCTCAGCATATGGTATGTCTAGGTGGTCTAAGCAAGTGTTTGACACTGGCTGATATCTTTGGGTCAAAGAAAGCATTGTTGTTCTGATAGAGAATTGCAGATTTGCAGCATTATCTTTGTATTGAGCATAGGGTCCAGAGCTGAAATTTTAATGAAACAATTTTTTAAACTATCATAAGAATCTCTAAACCTTGAGAAATTAAAGAAAGACTACAATTTACCTGTCACCATACATGTAGTATTGACATTGTGTTGATTTTTGAGAGATCACCCTAAAGGGAATTCAGCTGTCGATACTTAACACTGTACACATTTCACTTCCCACCACCGTTAGGAAGTCTCCACAAATCCTGAAAACTAACTATCTCCTAAAAAAGAACAGGGTATTATAGAATTTCACCCTCTTACCTTCCCTTGGACCCAATGTGACATTCACACAGTCTTTCCAAAACTGATCCATTGGACAACCGCTGTAGGTTATAATTTGTGCGCACAAATTAAACTTCAGGGTTTTGGTCTCATTACGCAAATTTTCAAGCAGCCAGTTCAGTTGGACATCTTCACCATACATTGGGCAGTTAGCCATCTTTAACCTCATGTTAACTCCGGAGTCGCTCAGAAATGGGTTTTTCAGAGATGATAACTCTCTGTCAATATGACAGTTTGAAGCATTGCAATACCCTGGGTGAATTCTTCTGTAAGCCCGGTAATAGGCTTCTTTGTTTTTCACAGAACCTGTTGAAGAAGATATATGATAATGAATCTGCTGGAGGCACAAGAACCCTATTATTATTCTACCCAAATAATAAAGATAATTAAATTTATTGCTTCTTCTTCCTGGAACCCAAAGTAGCAGGTTGTTGTAGAGCAAATGCACCAGATAATGAAATACGAGATACAGCAGATTGAATGCACAGAAGAAAATAAACACCTCAGGGGAAAAAAAAAATTAAAACCTTATTTTACTTTAAAGTAGTTAAATATAAAAATGGTCATGTAAATCTTAAAATGTATAGTTAGTACAAAACTCAAAATATAATTCTTTAAAAGGATAAGGGTGAATATTAGATACTACCGTTCAAAAGACAAAATATACCATTAAAACAAAGAAACTATTGTTTTCCAACTGAGCAACCAAAAATAAACTAAAAAAACCCACAGAGCTTGCAAATGTACAATCAGCTGTGATCTACTGTCCATTCCCTAATGCAATTTTGATGGTTGAACTCCTCCCATCTACTGGAATATGAAAATCAGTAATCCATGGCCCAAAGAACAGCAGAATATGCTAAAAACCATGAATTTAGTAAGTATTTTTAGTAAGTATATATTTTCTGACAGACCTACTACAAGAAGCAACAAGTAAGGTGTTAGTCCTAGGTTTAGAAGAATTTGTGGTATTTTTTTCAGATTTTCTTGAGTCTGCCAATATTTTAAATGACTTTAAAGGTGAGATCAAAACATATACGTACAAACACTGTTATTTAAAGGTCTGGAATGCATGTCCTGTGAGGAGCAACTAAGAGTTTTGGCTTTGTCTAGTTTGGAGAAAAGGAGGCTGAGCAGTGACCTCACTGTTCTTCCCAGCTTCCTGAAAAGAGGAAGTGGAAGCAGAGGTGCTGAGTTCTTTTTCCTGGTGTCCAGTCACAGGAAGCATGGGAATCGTTCAAACTTGTGCTAGGGAAGGTTTAGACTAGACATTAGGAGCAATTTCTTTGTTGTGAGGCTGGTCAAACACTAGAACAGGCTTCCTAGAGGGGTGGTTGATGGGCCATGGTTGTCAGTGCCTTAAGAAGAGGTATTTAATAGTATGTTTCAACTTTCAGTCAGTCCTGACATGTCAGGCAGTTGGATGAGATGGTCATTGTCGGCCCTTCCATCTAAAATATCCTATCCTATCCTATCCTATCCTATCCTATCCTATCCTATCCTATCCTATCCTATCCTATCCTATCCTATCCTATCCTATCCTATATCCTATCCTATATCCTATCCTATCCTAATTAGTATGTGCTTTGTTGTAATCATCTAAATATGTTTAAAAGTTTTAAAATCTAAATCTTTAAAGAGAAAAGCATCTGACTCTTTCTCAAAAATGAGAACACAATTTCAGAGTGTTTTGCACATGAAAACACAGGAGAGATTACTTTGATACTTCCTCTAATGCATTTAATATGTTTTCAACATACCTAGTTCATACTTGTAAGCGCCTGTGATGTCTTCAAATTGCTCACTGCCAACACTCTTGGTGATTAGACGTTGTCCACATGGCCATGTGTCACAGAAAAATTTTGTTCTTTTGGCATTGTTTTGGGAAAGCCAGCCAACGTAGTTTGAATTTACTCGAGAAAACATATGATGACCATCATAATCCAAGTCCAGTTCCCCTTCCCTGATGCTTCGAACCCATGTAGGACCGCTGCAAGCTGAACCTAAACCGGAGAACAAAAATGTTATGACACATCATAACCCGAGTAGTAGGGAATCTCAGCAACATAATCTGAGGAAAGTGATTACAACTATAGTAAAGTTACCTCTGCCTGTTTCCAGAGGTGTTGGATCCAGACACTGCCAGTCACCGCAGCACTGATTAATGTCTCTGCGAGCCATCCAAGACTCATTCCAGCAGTGGTATCGCCTGTAGAATGAAGGAATATATGATTAAAGATGTCCCTTGGATTACCAAGTTTAATGCCTATGACTGAGGAAAACCATGCCCATGATAATCTTTAAATCAGCTGAAGATTTTGCATATCTTAACACTGTTAATGATGTTTATGACAAGAGTGGTTTTATTTGCTTTATATCACTCAGACTGGAAATATGTTCCAGAACCCCACAGACCTGATTGCAAAATATGTTTCCTTGAGATGATAACATGAGACCACAGTTCCTTTGTTTAACAGGAATTAAAAGGTTTATAAGAATGAACCAATCCATTACAAGGAACATCAGGAGGACAACAGAGGTATCAACCAAGTGATTATGACTGAATATAAAAGTCCAAATTAATGATAAATTTTCCCTAGCATTTAATAATCTACTTTTACAGCTCCTAAGTTTGATGGCCTTATTCTTTTTAGCTGAGAAGGGTAAGTAGGAAGCATGGATTCCTACAAGAGGTGTTGATTTTTTCTTTTTTGAAAATCTACATTGAGTAGCCTGCCTCTTTAGTAATTTCATGGTTTTGAAATGCATTATTAGGAAACTGAAGACCATAACCCCACTAAAGAAAGGCATACACCAAAGAGAAACAATGATCTGCTAAATTCATACCAGTTTTCCTATGAAATAACTTTTTGAAAGGGCAAAAGAGCTATATATTTTTCTTGCTTACCATAGCTTGTCTTTGCCACATAGGTTTTTACCAGTAGAGTCAAAAATCTCATTGATTCCAAGGGGATTCTCAATTGAGCAAGGAAAACAGAAGCTTGTGACAACACGGCTTGGAATTCCCAAACACCTCATCACTGTAAGAAAAAAATATGAATGAATCATTACAAATCACAATTAATCAGGCAAATCCTTCACTTATTTTATAAATAATTATATTCTAATTTGCTATAGAAAATATAGTTTTATATATATATATATATATATACACTTATATATATATATATACTTCTTCTATAGTTATAGAAACACAGTGGACAGGAAGCAATATTTGGGATGCAGTATCTTCAAAATTCTTCTTAGTTCTTGAAAAGCAGTTTGAAAAACCAGATGTTTTAAGTTCAGAAATCATTAACCTGATTCTCCATTAATAAAACATAATTTATTTTTTTTAATAAATAGTGTGGTACATATAGATTCATCTACAGGACTTAAATAAAACTTCATTCAATGTAGAAGCAGATTCAGTAGATAAAAGAAGTTGGAACTCAGATCTTCTGTCTGTAGAGTTTAGTGCACTATTATCTAATCTTTTGCATTAAAAGCAAAATATAGCCTAATGCTTTTGTGTTGTGGAGGAGACATTACTAGAGGTCTTCCTGTTCATAACTTAGTGTTTTTTCTCATCCTTCAAACATCACCCTAAGCATACATTTTGGCTCCACAATGGGGTTGTACTAGATGACCTTTAAAGGTCTCTTCCAACCTCAGCTATTCTATGATTCAGTGATGCTGCACTTGTGCTTTCTGTGTTTTAATAAAAATTTCAATATTGATAACTTCATAATATGAAGGTCACAGAGAAGATGGAACTACTTTTTTTCTTGCTCTTCAGCCTGTATAGGAATGCAAAAGGTTGATAATAAACACTATAGCTGGAGCATATTCTTTTCCAGTAAAATGTTTATGAGTTAAATACTTCAAGTAGTTTTTAACGTCAGGGGTTTTTGATCCTTGTTTTCTCTCTTCTTTTATCTATAAACAAGGTAAGGGCAAACTGAAATATCATACCTGTGCACATTACTGAAGCAAGAGATCCACAGTACCCATATCTGACCGGCCTGCATCTGCCACTGTACCACTGCTGTAGAATAGGGACACTTCCATTCCAGGAAAATGGCTTTGTTCCTTTCAGGTAATCATTGTTTTCTGGAATCTTCATGATACTGCTAGTGGTATGGCTGCTTATCTAAAAAGAAAAAAGAAAAACAAACTTTTCAAATAGCCAACCATGTGTTCACATTCTAAACATGTCTCAAAATCAGCAGAGATTAGTGTTAAAAGTTTAACTTTCCTGTTAATCTGAGCACAGGAAGGATTTTCCCTCTTCCCCTGCTGTGTTAGATTAATGTGCAGTTCATCCTTCTACAGTATAATGTAGTGTGACCTTATCTATTCAGAGGTCTCACACCCCTACAGATCTTACCATGTGATTCACCACCATGCTGACATGCACAGGGTCATTACGCCAACAGTGGTCACGATCAGAGCCGTGATGGTAACTTGCACCCATATCTAAGATCTTCAAGCAGATATCCAGAATCCCATCTTCAAACTGAGGAAAAAGAGGTTAACAAAGGCATCATGGTATGCTGACGTTGCTAAAGTACCTTTCTTATCAATAATCTAGTCTTTTTCACTTAAATGAGCTGCCCTCTCTCCTCTCCTGCCCTTTTTCCTTTTATTCTTTTTTTTTTTTTTTTTTTCCTTTTGTTAAATCAAGCACAGCTCCTAGTGGTCTGCATGGTGTTGCCTATCTGCCTGAAGGAAAACCAAAGGCAAAACCATGTCATTTTTATTTATGTTTAACCAATGGAATAATTTTCCTTCAGAAGCACAATATTTGTTTCATCTGTTCCCAGACCATTCTGCAATTTCCCTCATTTTACTAGATAAAACTTTGTTCCAGTTATTTGGACTACAGTGAAATTCTCAGACATTTTGGTTTGTGTATGCATAGTCTGTACTGATCCTAAAAACCTTTGCACTACAAATAGAGCATACATTTCTGAAAAAATACAAAAATACAGACAACACTTCATTTTTGAGTATATGGATGACACCTATTTCTGAGCAAGTGTTAAAAAAGTACCTGTCCAAAGTGCCACGGTCGAGAGGTTATGTGCTTGTGAACTCCTTCATACAGTATTCCATGTTCATTCAGAATGTATTCTTCTCTATGGGCCTGACTGTCCAAATACACGGGGTCATCTGGAAAAGATGAAGAGCTTTCATTCAGACAAAATGTACCTTAATAGTACTTCTGTGTTTCTGCACCACTGGATCCCTCTTTCCTTTCCTACCAATTTTTGATTTATACTTTTAAGCATGTTGAAGGCTATGGGCTCTTCAAGCATTCACAGACAATTCATTCCTATTAAAATAATATCTTTATTAAGTCTCTCCCTGCTGCAGAACATATGAATGGAAGAGCTTGAAATTTATCTTCACACTAAGCTGTTCTACAAGTCAAACACTCAGCACATAGGGTTGTGTATCTGACTTAGATCAAATCAGCACAGACAATGTGAATATTTGTCATGCAATGATTTTGGCAAAGTCATACAGACTCCAGAATTCCTTGCTACCAGAGCCAGATCTACAGAATTTATTTTGTATCTGTACTATGTTATTTTATGATGATAACATAGTATTCACAGAATTACAAAGTGGTTGAGGCTGGAAAGGTGCCTCTGGAGGTGATCTGGTCCAACCTCCAGCCAGTTTCCCAGCCCACATCCAGATGGCTTTTGAATATCTCCTAGGATGGAGACTCCACAACCTCTCTGGAAACCTGTGCTAGTGCTCAGTCACTCTCACAGCAAAAATGTGTTTCTGATGAACTGAGAAAACTTCCCAATGCTTTCTATCCTAGTCTTTTTATCACAACACTGTAAAAGCTGTGGGAAAAAATTATACTCCACCCCTACTACGACTAAGAAAACAAATCAAAACAATGGCTTGAGACAGTCTTGAACTTGGAGGAAAAAAATTAAAAATAACAAAATTAAATCTCTCCTTGATTCTCATTCTTTCTGTAACTATATCTTTTACATAGCAGCTAAATAATAAATATGTTCAACAGCTTTACTCTTTTTCAATCAATTAAAAATCTTAAACCAGCTATTTTTCTTAAAACAAAATGATTATCACTAGACTTCTTACCTGCACACCAAGGGTTAAAAAGGACATAAAAATCTCCAAGACACCGCTGGTATGTGTGACCACAAGATGTGATTTGCATATTGAGAATATAACGGCCAATGCAGACATTGGAGGGAGGAAACACGCTGATACTGATGCATTTTGGCTGATGAACTTTGTAGGAAGCACTCCAACAGGTTTGATCCAGACATCTGCCCATTGGGAAGGTGCATTTTGTCTCATTTGATTCGCAGGGTCTGAGGCCTGTTCAGGAAAATAAAAACCACTTCCATCAGACTACTAAACCAAGCACATGTAAAAGGGGAGTAATTTGCTTAAGGCATCATTTGCAAGGCGAAGCTCCCAAGGGTGGATTTCTTTTCCACTTGTCACTTCTCTAGCAGAGTGAGAAAACTTAACATATTAGAAGAACTGCCTGATTTAGGGGAAGGTAGTCTTTTCACATGGAACATGAGTAGGTTATGGGAATATGAAGATTATGACAGAAGTCTTTTGAAGACTATGGGAAATATTATTAACCAGCAAAGGACTAGGAAAGACTACAGAGTGTTTGGGAGTGACTACCTGTCTCCACGGTGAAAACAGCTTGGTCCACGGAGTCATCCCATTCCCGATTTTGGAAACGAGCATAAAAGCTGAAGGCTTGCCCTCTCCTTATTATCTGTCTGTCAGTTCCGAAGAAATGGGTATTATGTATTTGACAGTTGGAAGGACAGTTCAAGTCGACTTCTCCCAGCTCAATAACTGCAGGACAGAGAAAGGAGCACAAAGAAAAAGCCCCATATAATTAGCTTCCCAGCTCTGACTGTGGTTAAGATTAGGTGAAAGAGGAGACAATGATGAAAGACAGAGAAAACTCTTTCAAAATTCATTCAAGACTGTTCAAAATTCAGCAAGACTGAAATTGAGACATTCATCCATAAAAGCTCCTTTACAAGTTCAACACTTTCCTAGCTTGCAGATGGAAACTTGTCTAACTCTTTGATTTTAAAAGCTGTGCTACAAGTTCCATTTCTTTTAAATTGTGCCTGATTGTATTATAAATACCTGATGCTAAAGGACAATATTAGTGTCTCTACTTGAAAAGTTGACTTTGCATTGTAATATTCTCTCTGCACATTACAACATACTGTCTACAGACAGATACAGTTTTGCACATGTTATCATTTGAAATGTTTGCATTTGTTTTATAAAATAAATTAAAAATTCACTAGAAAAAATAAAAAACTTGATAACATGTGCATGTGTTTGAAAGCTTAAGTGGCACTCTAAATGATTTATGAAAAAATATCTACCCAAAACTTTAAATAATTTTAAAGATGCATGCAAATGTCTCAGTCTGTACTCCCAAAGTCATAAAAAAGTTTGCAGATATCTTTGAGGAACTTAATGGAAAAGGAAATATTCACAAATTGTGACATTTTAAAATGCTGACAATCCAGGTGCTGTGATTAGCTTGACAAAAATCTTGGCTGATTCCCCCTTAGGCATCCTGCCTGCATATCAGTCATTTCATAGGAGTAATTATGACACTGGTGCCAGAAGGATGGGTGGCAACATTCATCTTCATTTATTTGCATACAACATTTTATTTTCCAAAGTTCTTCACTCTAATTGAAGACGATGGGAGCTACAGATTCTCAGCAGTTTTGGAAATTGTTTTTACTGATGTACAAAGTCTTGTATATTATCATAATTTTAGAGAGTGAAATTTGGTCCTGCTAAGCCTACAGAAAGATCTAACAATGCAACTTCTCTAACTACATGGGTAGTTCACCGAATACAGAATTAATATTTAAGGGAAAATAATTTTTCCCATCCAGATCCAATGGTGTATCCACATGAGGGGACACTCATAGCTAAGCCCTTGGGACCAGGACATTTTTAATACAAAAAAAGTGTAGTTTCCCAGGATCACATCTTGAATTAAATAGTAATTTAAAGTAAGTGGGGCAGGGGGAAAAAAAAAAAAAAAAAAGCATTTTTTTCTGATTTGTCTTCCTTGACTAAAAATAATCTTATTTCTCATCTAACTATTTAAGTTTGGCAATGCATTGGTCATTCAGATGCAACAAATGCAGAGCTGAGTGCTACCGATGATAAAAAAATGCACACCTGAGTGCTACCGATGATAAAAAAATGCACACAATCAACAGTAACCAAAAAATACAGGAGTGCATTACAGCATTATTGCTCATGAATACAACATACCTGCTAACAAGAAAGAGCAACAGAATTGAACTGAAAATCTCATATCTTAATGACTGTTGTCAACCATAACACAAAGAATTCTGGTCAAACCAAAAGTTCTTATAGCACACATGGCAAATTCCTGTGGTGAAGAACACTGAAAGAACCTGATCCTTGCCTGGTCTCTGGAGGTGTTTGTAAACCAAGACAACAACTCTTCATCCACTCAGTAATCCAGCTGAACTGGAACATCAGGGAGCTGAGATATTACGTTTCCCAGGGAAGTTCTCTAAAGTCAGCCCACAGTTTGCTTATCAGATTTAAGTATTGCAACTGGATCACAAAGGAGCTAATGACTGCTTTCTTAAGCATAGACAGCTCAGAAAAAATATGAAAAGCAATTCAGTTTCACTTTTCTTACTGGTTTTCTGCCTCTGGTAGAAACTTGACCATCAAGACGAGCCACAGGTTTTTCTCTATCAATTCATATTTTTTTCTTCATTCAAGACAGAATACTTCAGGTATCCATTGGAAGATAATTACTTATAGTATGAGAATACTGAAACCTAGCATTCTGTAACTTATGCTGGAAATAAAATTTATTCTTTTCCATGCTATTTCCTGTTTTCAGAATTGGCTGTTGTTTCACTAAATCTTTTCCATAGCTCTTTTTCCTTCATAGTAGTTTTTTTCAAAAGTTGTTTTTTCCCCTTTTCTCACTAGTTCCACAAAGAACATCCACACATGCAAGTAATCCCTACACAAAAATACGTGCAATTTTTTTGGTCTGTACACATGATCATTTAATTATTTCTGTGTTCAGTCCTGGTTTAAGGGATATTAAAGTTTTGAGACACTTACCTTCCATTTTTCTTCTGCATGTACTGGTATCTGAAGCACAGTATTGATGGAGATACCAGCTCCTCAGCAAGACGCACTGCAAGGTCTGGCTGATCTCCTCTGCCAACCAACCTAATTTCCTCTCAGTAACACTTATATTCAGAACTAAGAGGCTGTCACATGTGTTGCATCAACAAAATACCTGTTTTAAAAGAGGCCCCACCCATGTGTCTACTGATGCTCATAAATGATTCATTTTAACTTCCAGCATTATTAGGGAGAGTCCTGCGGCTGAATGGAGGGAAGAGATCATGGCACCTATAGCACACTGCTCTGGGTGTCCCACAGCTTGCCCTGTCTCCAAAATACTTTTAAGCCAGGATGAATCTAAACACATTTCAGGGTTAGCCATTATTTGTAGCCATCCAAAGTTGCCAGCACCTACTGTTCCCTTCTGGCTAGACATCTTCAGACAGCTATGGAAAACAATAAGGCACACCAGGCTAAAGCTGAATTTACACTCTCAGAATATGGTAAACATTGGGCATTTTTAGCGTAATATAAGCAGAAAGCCCAGCTTTCAGCAAGTCTGCACAGCACTCCCTCTGAGGGGAGGTCAGAACAAAATGATCAGTTACAAACTTTTCCAGCTAAATTGTAAAATATGCAGACAGCGTGCACTAAATTGAAGTTGACAATGAAATTTAACCAAAAAATTGTTTATACTTCATATGTATTTGTTTCCTAGCACACAGTTTTGCAGTTTACTTAGCTTACTCCACCTCCCTTCCCCTGAAATTTTGAAAACCATTTCCAACAGTACCTGTGAACAAAAACCATGTTAATGTGTTAACACAAAATTTGTGCTATTTTATTTAGGTTCCAATCATATTTAATAAAATGAAACAAAACAACAACAACAACAGTGTTCTCTTTGCACTCTCGGTGATGAATACTTTAGCCTGCAAATAGGAGACACGGACTGAAATTTCTTCTGGCAAAACCAGAATGAACATGTGGTACTAGTTTCCTCCTATCCTTCTTATACCTCTATGCCAAGCTTTACTCCATAAGCTATCTTTTGAATCCCTCAAAGTTATACTTTGGATTGAAAAAAATCTCACCCTAAAATAAAACAATATATAACCCCAGACAAACCAAGAAAAACGAAACACAAAAATCATTCATTGAGATAGAAAGATTCAGGCACAATGATTGAAGTTCAGTGATTTGCATAACTGCCTGGATTCTAGACAGTGCTTTAAGAAATCATAGAATGAAAAAGCTTAGCAAACAGTGAAATAACTTAGTAAGCATAGCCTAACAGCTCAGGTATTGTGAAATAACTTCAGAGAAATTAAAGCAAAGAAAAAAATCAGCACATCAACAGTGGGTTTGGAAGAGAGCAGGTAAAAAATGTGTATGACTGATGCATAAGAGAGTGAATTTAATTTTCAATGTGTTCATATTTTGAAAATTATAAATGTTTGGCTAGTCAGAGACAGACATAAAAAAGCCTGAATCCTAAGTATTTCAATCACCTCTCATATACCTGAAAGATTTCTTTTTCTTAGTATTTGCCATTTGACTATTAAAATTCAACTCACTGAAAAATGAAAAACTAAAAACACCACACTTTCATAAGAAATAATTTAGCAGCCAAACACACATAATCAACTTTAAATCAGCCTGCAAAATTGGAATGATAGTGGTCAAGTCAGCCACCAGAGACCTGTCTACAAGCAGATGCACATACTAGCATGTAGAGAAAGAACAGAAACATAATGAAGTTGGTCACAGTTTCCAAGAATATATTAAAATCCCCTCAAATACATCTAGTTCAACCTTCTGACTGAAATATCTTGGTAAATGAAAGCCTGTGACAAATAAAAGAAAACAAATAAGCATCAGTAAGTGGCTGCACCTGTGGGTTCAAAGAGACTTAATTAAGCGTTTAAAATAATAAAGACCTGAATCAGGAGAAGAACACTTTCTGTATGGATATGAGTCACTGGCTTTAGTAAGTATGCTTGCTTAGATCCTTGAAGCAGCTTTGGTGCCTATCTGTCTCTGCAGGATCATTATATAGATGCCCAGCCCCAAAGCAAAGCCTCCCAGATACCCAAGTTCCTGCCTATCAGTGTCTGCAGAGCCATCCAATTGCCAGCTCACAGCTATCAGACTGGTTGGTCCTCTCACCCAAGCCCAGGCCTCATGCACCTAAAGTAAGAATCTTCAGCAAGGCAGAAAATCATAACACTGACTCTCTTGATGCTCTCAGTCTGTTCTTACTCCTTTTGCCTACTAAGCTCTGCATCATATTCCTTGCATTTGTGTCATCCATGCAACAGGGCCACCACCCAAAAAAAGAGCCATGGGAAACTGAGCACAAACAGGAAACACAGATATGGT